TTAAACAGATAATTCTTTATTTATATAAGTCTAAAATACAAGTAAAACCATTTTATTTATTATTATATGCATTATCGTATTCGTCATCGTGATCGGCTCCATAATAATCATTGTCATCTTTGCTTGAACTGATTAAGCCTCTTCGTCTTAAGAATTAGAAAAAAGGACATAACCTTTCCTATTTCCACCAGAAGGGAGCCGTTCTATGATGAGAACCAATGCACGATACCATATTGCGGATACCGAAGTCATACAATCTTTTTTCTGAAAATAATAAAAATAACTCAATAAACACCTTCATTCTATTCATATAAATCATTCATTTAACAATCCATTTAACGTTTATAAATCCATAGTTTAATAGATTATAGAAGATTGTACATTAGTACAGTGTACATTGAGTAACTATAGTAACAATTCATAAAGAACATTTTTTTTAAACTCTGTATAATATATAACATTTATATAATAAAAGACTTATTAAAAAAACTTGTAGTTATCGCAGTTATAGATTGATAAGTTGCATAACTGCAAGACAACTGCAGCACCCTTCCTAAACATAGTAATACAATATTATATAGTATTCTATTACTTTATAACAATATCTGTACAGCATATATATATATATATATATATATATATATATAATATATATATATATATATATATATATATATATATATATATATATATGTGAATATGTTTATCAGTCATAAAATTAACAGATTTATCTAAAAGTAAAGGAGTTTTATATGAAAGATAAAAATTTAGACATCTTATTTGATTGGTCCATTTTATAGTCTTTTGGTATAGTAGTCACACTTGATTTGAATAAAGATATCTTAGAATGCAATTGAATGCTTGAGACAAGGTGGCTGTGGTAGTGATTGTTTAACTAAAATGTAAATCCGAGTGTATATTGTTTGAGATATGTTCATTACAATTATTATTAGTCTTCAAAGATAAAAGTAGGACAACTTACTTGCATAATCTTAACTTAATGCATGTAAGTATTTCTAGCACTAAGGTCGTCACAAACTTTATTTCATGTTTATTGTAACATCAAATTAGCTAACCTATCAATATTCGTACCTTTTGCATTAGCATTAACCTAAAATTTTTCCTCAACTAAAAAAAAAGAACTATTTTACTTTACCGTAAAAATGATTAATCATATGCTAATTAAAACTTGCTAATTTTTTTTTTTACATAAAATTTAGAACAAACTAAATAAAACTATTATTTTTAAATTTATAATATATATATATATATATATATATATATATATATATATATATATATATATATATATATATATATATATATATATATATATATATATATATATATATATATATATATATATATATATATATATATATATATGTATGTGTGTGTGTGTGTGTGTGTGTGTGTGTGTGTGTGTGTGTGTGTGTGTGTGTGTGTATATGGTTATCAATGCCTTCTTCAGTTTCTGATATTTAAAACTTTTGCAATCCTCATAACAATCTGTAAAAGGAATAACAAAAGATCTTATCCAAAGCAATGACAAATAAATTTAAAAAATATATTATTTAACATTTTTTGAATAAAAATTAATATATCACAAACTAAAATAACAATTCAATAAAATATCAAGCTTTTTGTTCTTCCAATCAAATAGCCTGGCGATGTGACATTTTGCTAAAATGTTAACACTAATTTAGTTGAAGGTACATCAACACATAACATTAACTTTTAACTAAACTTGTTAAAAGTGTTTTAAATAAGTTTAGTTGTCTAGTTTTTTAGCTTTTTTTCCTGACTTTAGTTTTCCTAAATTTCGAGGGATGATATACATATACATACTATATATTTCGACTCGTAAAATTTCAAGCTTGGTTGGTCTTTCATAACATAATAAAATAAATGAAAAATAATGCAATAAATATTTCATTAGCTTTTAGATAAAGAGCATAAGATAAAAACAGAACAATTTCAACTCTCTTTTAACTAATTTAAACTTAAAAGACTCGAACCAATCATCATTGTACCTTTCAAATATAACAGGAATTACCTTTAATCTTACATTAATTTTTAAGAGTTGAAATTTTATAAATAGCTTTTCAGAAGCTTGAGCAATTAGATTATGATTTAAAAGGTAAATATCTGACAGATGTTCAACTATTAGAATCATATCTAAAAGTACAAAGTTAGCACTTTATTTTGTAATTACTAAAAGAATAACTATTAGTTTTAAAAATCACTGCAGTTTTTTTTTACAGAACGATCTTTACAGAAATAGCCATTAACTTAATTATTATTTTAGGAAAATCTAAATTTTAAAGGAGTAAAAATGTCACAAAAAATCAATTTACAACTTGCATGTGTACTTGGCTGTTTCTTGCTGCTTTAATTGTTGTTGCAACTGACTGGACTGTATATAAAATATTAAATGAAATTAAACACACAAAACTTAATAAACAATAAAAAAAATACTTGCACAGATTTTAGAAATATAATATAACTATATTATTGTTTGAGCCATGTTAACTTTTCTACTAAAGAGAAAATAAATGATACAATATAATAATCTATCATATCAGAGGTAAGTAAATTTATTTTCTCTTTAGTGATTATCATATAGGAGTATGAATAATACTTAAACTTTTAAAAACATTTTTTAGTTTACACTAAAAGCCTACACTAAAACTGAAGATCCATTATATAAATATTTGAACCTCATAATTTTTGATTGGCAATGACTGCACTAAAAGTATAAATATTATAACATTGCTATTCGATCAATATAACATTTATCATAAACAAGTAGATGTTAGGTCTTAATATAAACAAACAGTAATAATTTTATTTAGTTATTTAAAAAGTAGTTACCACTTAAAATGCATAATTTTTCTCCAAAACTTTTAGAGAAAATTTATGCATTTTAAGTGGTAACTATTTTTCATAATTTTTCTAATTTTAATAAAAGTAGAAAAATTAGGAAGCTAATAGTTAACTATAGACGTTTTATAGCGTTGTTAAAAACCAAACAAAAAAAATAACAATTTACGAAATATTAAAAAAAAACGCTGAAACTGATACTTTTTTGAAATTACTAAATTTTAGTTATTGCTACTAAAATAGCAGTTTCAAAAAATTAGCAGTAATTTCAAAAAAGTATCAGTTTCAGCGTTTTTTTTTTAAATATTTCTTAATTTGTTTTTTCTGTTTGGTCTTAATGTATTTTGATAATTACAATGTATTTTGATAATTCTTTATTTAGTCTAAATAAAGAATTATCAAAATACATTGTTACTGTACTTAAAATTACTTTTAATCGCTTATACAATATTATCGAAAAACTTACACGACTTTTTTTTAGCTGCTTCATTAACCACACTATAATACTAAAAACAAATTTCTTTTATCTCCTCTAAACTATTTATTACATAATTTAAGATTCATAAGAAATTCTAATTTTTAATCATAATGAAAGATTCAAAATGTCCGACACATTATGTGTGAATTAAGTTAGTTTCGTACGGAAAATGTTTGGTTAAGCTTTTCTACGCAAATTAAATATTCAGAACTCGTTTAGAATATATTCCTAAACGTTTAGATTGACGTAAATGCCATCTAAACGTGATCTAAACCAATTTTAAACCAACAAATGCCCGTTGGGACTATTTAGTGTTGGACGTTTCTGGAAGAGAGAAGATGAAGATTGTAGAGCAAGATACCGATCGACAGACGACATAAAAGATTGCAAATTATATGAATCTAGAAAGCAAGATGAAGGAAGCGAATTCCAAAGAACTAAAGTTTGAGGAAAAAAATCTAGACGAATAAGAATTTTTGGAGCACTTGGAAACAGTAATAGAAAAAGGATGAGACTTAATTGAATGACGAGTAACACAAGAATTAATTTTAGTAGATGGCACAACAAACGCTAGCTCTTTGGATCAGTGCCCTTATAGTATTTGCAGAATAGAGAAAGAGAAGCAACATTAGGACAATGTGATAAAGGTTGAAGGTTGGCTGCAAGAGCAGGTCCAAGTATGTTTACAATGCGTTTTTGCAGATTGTTTAAAAGAGAAAGAGAATCATTTGAAGATCTGCCCCAGATATAGCAACAATATTCCATACAAGGCCGGATTTGAGATTTATAGAGATAGAGAATAGAATCCAAAGTAAGAAAGTGACGAGCTCGATAAAAAGAAGCGACTTTAGCAGATGCTAATTTTGCAACGGATTTGATATAAGGTTTCCAAGAAAGATCAGAAGTAAGAGTTAATCCTAGAAGATGAAGGGTAGGAGACTCATCAAGTACATTACCGTTCATAAATATAGGAAGGTCTAAATTATTGCGATAACGATTGACTGAAAAAAATTGAGTTTTATCTGAATTAAAGTTCACCAGCCACTGTGAGCCCTATGCTGCCGCAGAAGTGAGATCTTTTTCAAGCTCAGATGCCCTCTGCAAGCAATCGGAGGGAGTTGGCTTTTTATCGTGACAAGAATAAATGGTAGTATCATCAGCAAACAATGCCACCTTAGATGTGAGAATATCTGGAAGATCGTTAATGTAAATTAAAAAGAGTATAGGACGAAGGATTGAACCTTGAGGAACCCCTGAGGTTACAGAATAAGAAGAAGAGTGCTGTTCACCAAGGACAACTTTTATACTACAATTGGTTAGAAAAGATTCAATAATCTTAAAGATGTTACCAGATATACCGTAAGAAGAAAGCTTATGGAGAAGACCAGCATGCCAAACTTTATTAAATGTTTTAGATATGTCAAGAGCGATGGCCTTAACCTCTCCATCTAATTAAACAATGATTATTTTAGGTTATATTATTACTTGAAAAAAATTATTTGCACCAATTTAATACATTGAAAAAAATTTTAAAAAATTATAGTTTTAAACACAATAAATTTTGTATTAAAATTATTTTTACAATGAAAATTTACAATTATAAACAAGCGTAGAGTACTAACATTAATATATATAATAGTTACATTCATGATTAGTCTAACAAAACGTATTTCAATTATCATGGACCAAAATTTATTGTTAAATTTCATGATGCCATAGAGCTACATTTTGTGATTATATATTAAATTTATTTCTCAGCAGATTCTAAAAAATATGCAACACCCTAATTATTTGGTTTCAAAAATCATTACACATAAATAACTCAGAGCTTATCCATTCACAGAAGCCCAGGTCATTAATAAGAAAAATCTGTATATTTTGTAAATTTTATATATTTTTAATATACAGAAATTATTTTATTTATTTTATCGAATTCTGTAAACTAATAGTTTGAGATATTAAAACTTGGAGAAAGTAAAACTAAACTTTCTGAAACAAAAATATTGAAAATAATGATGTCAGATTAAGTGTAAACTTACTAGATTTAGATAAATCATTTCATAGGAGATTTTTCATAACTTTTATGTGTGAAAAAAAAAAATAATTGTTAAAGTAATGTATTTTCTGTTGTTTATCATAAATCAACACAAACCTACTCTAAAAGCAAAACATAGATACGATTGAACTTCTTTAATAAATTTATTAAAGTTTAAAAGTACAAAAAAGACAAATAAAAAACGTATGACCAAAAAAAAAAAGATATCTATTTTTATATTGTAAACAAACATATTATATATGACTATATGATATGTTTCATTAAAAAAATCAACTGCAGACCTTAGAAGATTGTTTTAAAAGACGCTGGTTGGGTTCTGATCCTTTAGTTACCGAGCAATGGAACAAAGGTCGAAAACAATACAAACCGTGTAGTATGATAAGGTATAAAAAAAAGCATGCTTCAAAGTACATGAAAATGACATTGGTGATACTTTGTTTATGTAAAATTAAAAAATAAAACGTGAGCGTTTTCTTGTATTTTGTCTTTTTAAGAAGTTTACATAAAATATTTAGGGTAATATGTTTAAAGTAACAATAAAACATAGTTTTTATAAGTACATAATGGAACTAATATGTATGTTAGAAAATATTTTTAACATTGAAAAAATAAATAAACTTTTTTTATAAAACGGAAACATAATACGTTTGGTTTTAAGGTATGTGACGAAATTACGGTCAGCGTGAAGGGTGTGTAAGTGTAAGGGGGAAAAGGGGTTGTGTGATACTTTCTACCGGCCCCCCCTCCTATCCTTACCCGTTCTATTATTAAACAATTTTTTGTTCATTTATTCGGCAAACTTGACCTCATTTTAGACAAGGCTGTCGGCAAAATTCAAAACACAAAGACTTTTTTTTTTTTTTTGAAGCCGACGTAACACCTACTTGCGCGGGCCCTGGATAAAATACACATGAACCAACATCCATCAGCCAAACCACATTTTTACATTAGTTTCTTCATTTTAATTATAGAACTAACTATTTGGAAACATTCCAGCTAATTTCTAAACTATTTTTTATTTATATAAGCTTAAAGTATCTCTTTAAAACATCATTACCTTAAAATTTCAATACATGCTTCAGCGTACATAATATAGCTTCTTTTTTAAATATCATTTATTTTCCAAACTATTGAATTTCACAAATGGTACTTGTGACGGTTTATAAATTAGTGATGGTATCATAAATGGCTCTTGTATCTGATATTTTCAAGCATTGCACTTTTGTCTTACTTACTAGTACCTACATGGTTTAATTTCCATCTAGTACTTCCATGGTTTACTTTCCGTAAAAACCTGTGATTCTTTGACTAAAAAAAATGTTTTTTTTTTATAAAGTTGCTGAGAGAGAACAGTTCTTTTTTTGTTTTCGCTAAAGCAATTGTTACATGAAAAATAATTCATGTACTTTAATACAAAATTTTATCAATTTTTCTAACAAACATTTATAGCGATTTATGGGTGAATTATAAAGTTATAAATTATAAACTATAAATTATAAACTATAGATTATTGCTTTATCTTAGCTTTATATTAGTGTTTTATGTATTTATATATTTTATACATTTACATATTTTGTAGCTATGCTTTAACAATGAAATTATAGTTGACTATGATCTATGAAATTATAGTTGACTATGAGTTCTTGTTGATGAGATGCTATCCTGGCTTCCTCAAATAAGATATATTGAATCTAAAATCAGTAATATAATTGGTATGATGTATAGAGTTCGCTCATATATCAATAAACAAAGTCTAAAACTAATTTACTTTGGACTAATTCATTGCTTTATCAGCTACGCAAACATATCATGGGCAAGTACTCACCCATCAAAACTTAAAAAAATCTATAGTCTACAAAAACACGCATGCAGAATCATTTACTTTAAAAATAAGCGGGAGCATGCAAAACCTATAATGAAAGATATGAAAATGATGGATGTTTTTGAAATAAATATCTATCAGCATTTATGTATCAATTTAATAATAATCTCTCTCCTACAAACTTTACTAACAAGTTTGAAATAAACATAAATGAAAACTACTATCTAAGAGCAAATATAAGTAACACATATAAACTGCCTC